TCATCACTAGCGCATCCAGCTTCTTAGGAGAGTCGACAGCATTCCCCTTGAGAATAGGGAAGGTGCGAACAGAGCTTTTCATTGAGAAATCCTTGCATTCAGCTCCCTCAGGAGCTAAAAGCACGTGCTCCTTACTCATATACAAACAAATAGTCTCCTGAAAACAAGAAAGAGAATGAAGTATTTCACAGGTGCTCTTTTATACTCTTGGTTGCACCAGTAGTGACATCATAGGCTGCCGCCTGCCAATGTCAAGTTCATTGTCGTGTTTAGACCCATGCTTGAGACACCGGTCACACTGGAGGCATTCCCCATAGCACCCTCTAGGGGACGCAGCGTGAGTTCCCTTTCGAAAGAGGACCTACTGTACATACATGTAACTGATTACAAAAAATGAAGTAAAACTAAAAAGAACCAGTTATTTCAACGAAATGCATCAAATGTGAGGTGTCACGCAGCGAATTCTGGGAATGTAATTTTATGGTTTTTCACTGTAAATTATACAATGGCTGATTCTTTTTAACTACATTAAATGTATGGTTAGATCTATTACAGTTATTCACTGTATATAGTACGGAAACTTTCTGTTAACCAAATAACGTTTTTTCACTGTAGCATTACGTCTTTTACGGTTAAAATCACGATCATTTTTTACAGTGTAGAGTATTTGTAGACTGTTTTCTTTTATATCTGCTAACACTTTAATGTGATGGCCCCCCAGCCGACATGCTACTGACTATATGACTTTGCAACTACATGCCATCTTATTCTAATAAACTGAACCCTAACACTTAACCCTAACCTATCAGTCTACTAACAGTCTATTAATAGTCTGAGTTTAGTTGATACTGTATGTAGTTGCAAAGTACTTATAGTTAGTAGAATGTATAAAGTGGACCATTGAAATAATGTGTAACCTTGCGTTTTCCGGACAGAATTAGCAATTAAAGCACATACTTGCACACATTTTGGGGGATTGGAATGAACACTGATTAATTGAAACATCTTCTTAAGTACACACTCCAAAACATGCTGTCCCTCTTATCTGAATACCAAACAGTGAAGAGCTACACTTTTACAAGGATGTCATTTGAGGTTATGTCAGGTTGTTAATTTATTATCTTTGAAAGATTGAATTCACAGGCACAGAGGAAACAGGCACAGGCTTAACATTTTACAGTATCACCTCATAAACGAGTGTCACCCATATCATTAGCACATCATTTAAGACCTATAACGGCTTCACAACTATAGAAATTACAACAATTAATTCTTGCAGAACTATGAAAAATCCAAATAGACATTTATATCTACACACAGCGTGGACAAACACCCTCACACGCACTAACGTCACACAAGATCAATTAGCATATAGGAAATTAATGCATCAAAATAACTAGCAACAATACATTCAGTTCTTCTGTGGCTGAATTTAATGGTATGTGTAAAATCCAGCAGTTTAAAGCAAAATACCCACCCACTGGGCAAGAGTATCCTATAAGGATGATACAATACAACAGTCACCTCTGTGTTAGCTCGGTTTAGACAAACAAATGGCATGACGTCTGGCTCTCTTGACAAATCTCTCTGCGGACTAATTGTGCTTTTGGTGTATTTTTACAATCCTTTCACACCATGTTCAGTGCAAATAATTTCCCCCATTTTACCCAAGCTGGAGCAACTGGAGCAGCCGCTGAGTTAAGTGCCTTTGTCTTAAGGGCACAATATCTGCAGTAATTGAGCCAGTTAGTATTACAGTAGACCTACATTAAAGTCAGGTCCAATTAGGTAAACTATATTTGATTTATAGGTTTTGTTCACTAAGGATTTGTTTATTCTTTGCATATGCACATAAGAAAAGCCTCAGAAAGAGTTTTTGCACAGTTTCAAGACTTGGACGATTGCATGTCATAATCTGCAAAAAAAATTAAAAAAAATACTGACAATAATTAACACTGTCATATAAAGGCTACTGGTCAAACTGGTCACATTAAACTGCACCAGTTATTCACACTCGCTGCAAGAGCAATGGGAGTTCAGTTCATATATTTAATGACACAAGAATAATTCAGCAAGGTGTGAATGAAAGCTCACCCCAGAGACCTGGCCACCCTATAATTTTTATAATCAATACTAACACAGACGCTTAATAATAATAATTAAAAAAAGTCATTTATTTACCTTTTATTTATTAAGCTTAGATTGTTTGGCCCAGAGAAGAGCATAGTGTAGTAGCTGTAAAAACAACACACATCTTTAGCTGTGTATATAATATGTAATACATAATACATTTCATCTCTATAACATCCCCCCAAAATCACTATTATCAGCCATTCTCTGATTCACTATTATCAGCCATGAATGCCCAGAACGTCAAATGAACATATTTAGAGGGATAAAATTCATTTTACTTCACCTATATTTTTAATATCTGAAAATACTGTATATATAATGAATAGATTGTAGCAATACCCATACATTTATGCATGGAGATAAGTGAATTAAATATCGATAATGTGATGTAAAAAAAAACACATAAATAAATAAAACAAATAAATAAGACCCTGATATGAAATTATTGCTTTGCAGCAGAAAATGTAATTATAATTACATGATAGCTGTTATGGTTAAGTAGCATAAATTAGCCTAATCTCATTCAGTTGTTTCCAACTTAAAACCAAAATAAACCTCATCTGAATTTGCTCGCTTTTATGTGATTTTGTTTGAGACGTGGTGCCATTAAAAGCCCCTTTAAATCCTACCAAAGGTACACTATATGACTTTTGCCCCAGTTTACAGTCTGGACAAGCCAAAGCTTGTAGTCAGAAGTCAGAAACAATCTGCAGATTTTGGACAGTTGGAGTTTCACAGAAAATCACATTGTGTATGATGTGCACAGACTCCAATTTTTTTAGCTTCAGTGTACAATCCCATCCAGTCGTAGAAAATCAAACAAGTTTGATATTTTGAGCCAATTTTAGAACTCGTTTTTATCTGTCATGCATCTCCTAGAAACAAGGCGCATGTTTCTGAGTGAGTTTGTTGTGTTCAGAACAACTTGAAAGTCTATTAGTGTGTGATCCTCAGTTGTGCATGATGCCCAGTATTTCAGCAAGTATATGATGTCAACGTATTAAAATCTATTCCGATTTTAAAAGTCATGTAGTGTGTTCCACTATGGAGTTTATTTGATTTAGAATTTTTTAGAATTTTTTTATTTATTTATTTTAAAAGGGACAATGCACATTAATTAATATGAGCACTCAAGTCCATCATGTAAATGTGCCAGATTTGGCCATACAGGCTATTTTTCATCTGTAGTCCCTGGCAGGTTGATGGTAAAATCCACAAGTCCATAAAACATATAAAAAAAATAAAATAAAATAAAAACAACAACATAAAAACACATTCCAACAAGCATAACCATAATCAAAGCATATTCATTCAAATACAGAATGACTTTAGATATAATGAGAAAAACACATGGCACTACTCCAAATTATGAAAACATAATTGATTATCCAATAAACATTGTTTTATGAATGCAGAAAAGGAAGTAAAAGATGTAATATTTCTTAAATTTGTAGGTATAGTATTCCAGGCATGTGTAGCTCTAATCGAAAAAGCTGACTGCCCAAAAGCACTCCTTCTATATGGTATACAGTCCCCTCTAGTAGTAGCTCTAGTAGATGACTTAGGCCTATGATTTTCTAGCTGTTAGGTACATTTTCTTTCTTGAAAAATAGAACAGAGTTTCAATGTAACATCTTGTACCTCCTGTATTTATGTCATCTCTTCCATGCAACAGTTTTTTCGAAGGAGATGGGTTTAAGTGTCATTTCTACCGAGATGAGGAAAGGACTAAATGACAGCCGTGGGTGGGATAAAAATGATAAACCGCATCACTAGGATATGAGACTGTTAACTGCTCTCATATGCAAATATGCGTTTATTAAAATAATGGAATCCTAAAAGAGAAATAATAACAAACGTAGCAATTCCAAGAGGGTCCTCACTAGGGCTGTTTTCGACTAAGGATTTTCATAGTCGAATCTGATTCGTTAGATTTTGCCGTAGTCGACTGATAGTCGAACCTTTTTTTTTTTTTTTTTTTTTAGATAGCAGCTAGACGTTCGGTTGAATAACTGTTCGTCTGTTATAGGACAACTCGCTCTACGTTTATTTAAAATGAACAGCAAGACAACTAGAAGTGAATGTGCTTTCCATTAAATGAATCCTTAACAAAATAAAAAAAACGTTGCAATGAACGTGCTTTGTTTTAAATAAATCACACACAGTAAACAAAACCTTAACAAAAAAACTTTGCAATGAATTTTGTAATTTAGACGCGCAAACTGCGAGCCGGTGCGGTGAGACGTAGTAGCCTACATGCTCGGGCAGATTCGGCTTGAAGTCGTTCATCCTCGGATGCGGCGTCGCGCGCGCTGTTACAAAAAAAAGCTGTGCACACAGCCAAGCGAAATGGGGTCTTGCCGGTCTTGCGCACCCAACGCGTCATTTTTTTTGCCGTGCGCACCTTCACGCTCGTGCGGACGCGTCGAGTAAAAACAAGGCTTTACTCCGTGTCAGCGCGCGCTCTGATCGGTAAAGGTGCACAGACCTCTCCCGAATCATCTCCAGCATTCAGCCTCCGACGCACCACTAACTCCGCCTCCGCTTCCCTTGTAAGATGATATTAGTATTTAAACATTCTCTATGATAAAAAATGTTTGTAAAAAATATTTGACTAGCACGGTTTTGCCGGTTATAGAGTTCTAATGACGGTGTTCAACTATAACCGTCGGTCTCACGGTTATATAATAACCGTCACACCCCTATTGGTTACATAACACTTCCCTACTATTCGACTATGAGGTTCACCGTCGAATCAGACCTCTCCGAATCGAATCGTCGAATCCTCGACTATTAGAAGTCAGCCCTAGTCCTCACAGCATCGGTGCTCGGGCCCTAAATATGAAATGGTGAAAATGGAAAATGGTGAAATCTTGGGCGCTTCCTTAGGATTGCTGGATGGCATTGCCCTTGACAATACGGCCAATTAGAGGCAGGGCTCTGAGTTCCGCACGAAAACTGTGATTGAGCCAACAGTATATGAAGGGGTTATAGCAGGTAGAGCTCATGGCCAGCCAGTGGAAAGTAAAGTACAAGGCATTATTAGCCTGGATCATTTTACTTGACAGCAGTACAACGTAACAGTTTAGAGGAAACCAGCAGACTGCAAACACAGCCACCACTGCGATCAGCATTTTCAAAGTCGTCTTCTTCCTCCTGCGATGAGCGACCGATTGAGCCAGTGTGACATCACCGACGGCATTCCGGAACCAAACCTTCTTGGCCACCACGAGGTATGATAAGGAAATAATAGCTAAAGGCAACACGTAGAGGAGGACAAAGGAGGCAAGATCCAGATATTTCCAGAAGAGATCAGAGGGATGAGGGAAGCTGGGCAGACATACCATCCGTACTCTGTTATTGCTAAAAGAGTCAAGAAGAGAAATCTTTTAAATAGTTCACTCACAAAATGAAAATTCTATCATCAATTACTCACCCTCATTCCCTTTCGTTCAGCCACTCCGAGTTACGTCAGCAAAACAATGCCATGGGTCTGCGGAATTTGCATAGCGCAACTCCGCCCCACCGCGTGGGTATAAAAGGAGCTGCGCGGCAATCTCGCATTATGTTTTTGTTTTCTGCAAGCCTTTCTGAGTTCTTCAGCTACGAGACGAGCGACTCTTCAGTGCTGTTGGTGTTACGAACGCCGTCGTCTTAGTGGCCCCTAATGTAATAACAAATGATAATTTTGCGGGAAGTGAATCAATCAAAACCAACTTTAGCTGGAAATAACATTATTCAAAAATCGCTATAAAGCCAAAACAATCTCTGTTACCGTAAATTGTATGTTTATCTCTGTAAAGCTGCTTTGAAACAATCTCCATTGTTAAAAGCGCTATATAAATGAAGATGACTTGACTTGACTTGACTACAGCGTGTTCCAGCGAGATCACATTACCTGCTGCTGGTCTGTGCAGTGATCTGCCAACAGTGTGTATGTTTCTCCCTGGGCGCTTCAATACACTGTTGAGTTTTTTTTTTTTCTCTCCTCTCTAAAAGAGCAGCACGTCTTTCTAAAGATGTCTCGCCCGTGTATTTCTGGGTGCGGTAGACAGGTTTTGTCTTTTGATGGGCACGATCGCTGCCTGGCGTGTTTGGGCTTAAATTACGCTCAAGTAGCGTTCGTGGATGCGTCATGTTGCGGGAACAGGACCGTCGCAATGTTGCGATCGAGACTCGATGACCTCTGAAGAGGTAGAGTCCTCTCTGCCACACCCCAATCTATCCCTTCCGTGAGAGGGCATACTTTGGCTGGTGGCCAGGGTGATCTGAGGGTCACGGTGTGGAACAAAGCTCCGACGATTCCTCCTCGGACCACACCCTCCTCCAGCACATTGCAACCCGTGAGGTTGCCGGATGAGGTCGCGGGCCAGTCTACGGACGCGCCCCGCGTTTCATTCGGTGCTCCAGAGGACGATACCATGCCTGTTGCCGCATCACAAGGTGGGCAAGAGTCTTCTGGAGATGAAGACTCGGCTGTGCTGCCTCCTTCTGGTATGTCAGCATTGTCGGAGTCTGATCCAGAGTTGACTGCCATGCTTTCCTGGGCAGCCGCGAGCATCGGGATTGAGTGGAACCCTCCGCCCTGTCCTGAGCACTCGCGGCTGGACGATTGGTTTTTGGGGGCGGCCAATACCTTTCTTCCCGGAGGTGCATGAAGCGGTCATGCGGTCCTGGAAGTCTCCTTTGACTACCCGTGATCGTTCATCGACCTCTTCCACCTGGTGGTGGCTAAAGGGTACACTGGGGTCCCCCCGGTGGAGCGCTCTGTGGCAATGCAGTTGTGTCCCCAGAGCGCTTCTACCTGGCGCGGTGATCCAAAGCACCCCTCCAAAGCCTGTATGTTTTCGTCTACTCTGGTGGCGAAGACTTATAGAGCTGCGGGGCAGGCTGCCTCCTCACTGCATGCTATGGCCATCCTCCAGGTCTACCAGGCCAGGGTGCTCAGAGACATGCACGAGGGTAGGGCTGATCCAGGGCATATGGAAGAGCTGCGTGCTGCCACCGACCTCGCTCTACGGGCGACGAAGGTGACCGCACGCTCCCTGGGTCAGGTGATGTCCACATGCGTGGTCCAGGAAAGGCACCTGTGGCTTAAACTGGCTGATATGTGGGAGGCTGAGCGAACACGGCTCCTCAACTCCCCCATATCCCAGGCTGGCCTCTTCGGACGCGGTCGAGGACTTTGCCCAACAGTTCTCGGCCGCCCAGAAGCAGACTGAGGCTATTAAACATATTCTGCCCCGGCGGCCAGCTGCTGCCTCCACCCAGCCGCTGGCTCAGACGCCTCAGTCCGCCCACCGCCGAGGGCGCCCTTCTGTGGCCCTTCCCCCCCTCCCGTCCGGCCCTAGCAGCAGCCTTCACCCGGGCCGCACCGTGGAGGTGGCCACAGGGAGGTCTTCACGAAAGTCGTCGAGGCAGCCCATGTGCCACTTCGGCAACACTGGGTTTGCATCCTGAACTATCTCGACGACTGATTCTAGCTCACTCGGGCCTGCCGTCAGACCTTCACCCCATGGTCGAACCTCTCCTTTCTACGGGCCTTAGTGAACGAGTGTCTAGGCATGTTGTTGTCTCAACAGATGCCTCTGCCATGGGCTGGGGTGCCATGTGCAACGGACATGCTGCCACGGGCTCCTGGACAGGACCCCAGCGCCTTTGGCATGTCAATTGCCTCGAGTTGCTGGCAGTACGTTTGGCTCTGCACCGTTTTCGAATGTTGGTCAAGGACCAACTCGTACTAGTCCGTTCAGACAATACGGCGACAGTAGCGTACATCAACCGACAAGGTGGTCTGAACTCCTGCCGCATTTAGCAACTTGCCCGCCATCTCCTCTAATGGAGTCAGAAGCGTCTGAGGTCACTTCGAGCCATTAACATTCCGGGAAAGCTGAATCGTGCAGCCGACGAGCTCTCACGATTACGGCCACGTCCCGGGGAATGGGGACTCCATCCCCAGACGGTTCAGCTGATTTGGGAATAGTTCGGCGACGCAAAGGTAGATCTGTTTGCCTCCCCAGACACTTCCCACTGCCGCTGGTTTTATTCCCTGACCGAGGGGACCCTCGGCTCGGATGCATTAGCGCACAGCTGGCCGTGGGGCCTCCACAAGTATGCGTTTCCCCCAGTGAGCCTACTTGCACAGGTCCTCGTGCCGGTTAACTCTCACGTGATCTTGAGACCTCGGCCTGGATACGTGCCCAAGGTTCCCACTACTCCTTTCAGGGATCAGGTAGTGAACCTGCAAGCGCTGCCCTCGGAGGAGGCAGACCCAGCCTTGGCACTGCTCTGTCCAGTACGCGCCCTCCGTGCTTACGTAGACAGAACGCAGTGTTTCAGGACCCCAGACCAGCTCTTTGTCTGTTTTGGTGGGAAGCTGAAGGGAAAGGCTCTCTCCAAGCAAAGGTTGTCTCACTAGATAGTGGACGCCATTGTCTTGGCTTACCAGATGCAGGGTCAACCATGCCCCTTGGGGTGAAGGCACATTCAGCGCATGGCATCTCGCTAGCAGACATCTGTAGAGCTGCAGGCTGGGCGACACCCAACACTTTCGCGAGATTCTATAATCTCCGGGTAGAGCCAGTGTCCTCTCATGTAGTCGCTTCCACTAGCCAGTAATGTAAGGTATCTGGGGTAAATCATTGACTCTGTCCTGAACGCAAATAAAGCACATTCTTCCTAAAACCCAAAGTTTTTAGGATTAATGAAAATTACTGGACTTTGGTGCCAACAAGTCTGCTCCTAACACTTTTACGACCCTGCGACACTCGCCAGAGACTAACCCTACATTCTCCCACTCACGTAGTCCAAGCTTCAAAGGAATTCCAGAGAACCCCCCCCCCCCCCCGTTGGGTGCTCAATGCACGCAGATACAAACACACACACATATATGAACTTTTACTACTCTCCTCATTTAAAGACATTTACTGAGGTATATTTGATATGTTGTTATGTTTGTCGATTGCCCAGGTCCTATGAAGGGATCTATGAGTGTGTGTTAGTTTAAAACAAACTACAAGGGCAGTTAATTATGCTTTTAATGTAACTTTGCAATATAACTCTCCTTAAATGTCTTTCTTCCTATGTTCAGAATCCTTGTGATCTGACAAGGTCATTTATGTAATTGAACAAGCCATAAAATGTATTTTACTATGTTTTACCATCTTTGGAATGATTCTGAACATATTCTGACTGATCGTAAAACCTGTGAATGCGGCCATAATTTAGCTTTGACAAGACAAAGAGAATTTTGCCGCCAAGAGTTTCGTTGAATGTCATTGGCCAGTTCGCACCTCAGAGGTGTGGACTCCAGTTCCTTTAAAGAGAACTGGACTCGCTCTTCCTGTCCCTGTCTTCCCTCTCTGGCTGGTACCCTGGACTGCTCTTCCTCCAACATGTGACGCGCGCTTGACTCTCTCGCTCGCTCATACTCTGGACTCTCCCTTCCTTCATCATGTGACTCCTTGGTCCATCGGGACCTCGTGTTCATGCGATGACCCATCTTTCCTTTGTTTGTCTAGTTCAGTTTTATTTTCCTTTTTGTATTCTCCTTTGTTCATTCTCACCGGCGAGTGAAATGAACTTAGTTTGAATCATTTCTTTGGCAACACCTTCAACGGACGATTTGAACATCCCGCCACACGGGCGCGCCGGAAAGGACCTCTGACCGGGTTCGGAACACACACACACGTACACGAGAGAACATGATCAGCAAGTATTCGTTTTCCTACCGAGATCTAAATACTGCTAAGATTGCCTGCCCTAATTAGGGTACGATTTGACTCTAGTTGTCTCTCTTGACGGTTCTGTGTCTGTGATGAAGTTTGCCAGATCTCTCCAGATCTTCTCTCTCTCTCTCTCCCTCTCTGTCTATCTCACATGATTTTTCTCGATCATCTCTCTCTCTCTCTCTCTCTTCCTATATGCATTCTCCTTCTTAGATGTTTTATTGTGTTTGTAAATACATTTATTCCTTGTAACGTTTATTAACCGTATACGTAATCACCTTTATTAAATACATATATTCATTGATTGATTCTGCCTGTGCTCATACTTCAAATCACTTAAATGTTTCGATCAGCTACAAGCTTTGAAATGCTATAATACTTTAAATAGTATTGTGACAAAACAGGAGAGCTATCTTTTACGGCCGTAAAGATCGTCTCTTCCTGCGAGTCTCTTAAAGGTAATTTCTCTGTGGAAATTGATGAAGATCCATGACCAGTTTGCTGGACAAACAGATTATTCGATACTAATTAATTCCATTGAGGAGTATCCTGAGAATCTATATATTCTAGACAATTTGTATATGAATATTGAATTATAATTCGTTATGATTTGATTATTGATAAATAAAATTGATC